ATTCCATCTTTCTCTTCAGGCGATAAGAAAAAATATTCTGAATTACATTTCATAAAAAAAAAAATTTTAAAAAAATAAGAAATATCAAAATTTCCAACAATTTTTTTCATTTAACACATAAAAAATTCAAAATACTCATTTTAAACATTGATAAAATGCTACAGTGTTACTTACAAATTTAATAATAATGCAAATCTAATAATAATAGTAAAAATAAAATCTGAGTGCTTAACTACATGAAAATTCTATTCTGCTGCTTGCATCAGGTTTCCAGTGCAAAGTGTTACACACTGGTGATAGTTTTGGCGATATTTATCACTGGCAAAAAAATGGGGGTTAGAGTAGATTTAAGGGTGCCCTTGGATTATCCTCAAGTTGTTGTTTCGTTTATGGTAACTTGAGTAGCTGAACATTATGGAAAGCCTATTATGACGTATTGACTGCAGTCAATTTGAAAAATGGGAAAAGATTTGGAAAGCGTGTGTCAAATTTTGGATAAGTATGTTATTTTGTGGTTTACGCAATAAAATAGCTGAATGTGGTAAGATAAATATGAAGTTTCTGTACAATTTGGAATGAAAGGGAAGAAAGCATTAATTCACTGGTATGTAAATGAAGGTTTACTTAATAGCCATTATTAAGTGTCCAGTTTCTAGGAAGGAAATGCGTATGGTCAAACATCGGACAATACCTGCACCACGGAGTATATTTTTGTGAATTTATGTGCCGACACCAGGATACAGATTCTAGTTCAGATAATTTTAGGGAGTTTTTGGATGCTGTTAAGAAATTCTGTTTGACTGAAGACAGACAAATTCGTAAATATATTGTTATTTTGTGGTTCAAATGGGGTTGTAGTGGGTTTGTAGTGCAAAGATAAATGTCCTTTATGTTATTTCATTGCTTGATTTAACCCCTTAACTGGTCAATTTTTTTCCAGAAATGTTCCAAAAAAAAGCATATTTTTATTGCATATAATTAAAGGCCTAACTTAGTATAAAAGGAAAATGAAAGAATTTTTTAAAAAATTTTGATAAATAATGAATTTAAGCATTTTCTTATTTTATAACTTTGTATCACAAATGCCCCTACATGTTGGCTTTTTGTAATCACGGAGTTTATGCAGTGAAGCCTATTATACAGATCTCACGAACTGCGAATCTAAAAGAAAACTTACCATACGTTAAAAATTCATACTTCCAATACCATTGTTGAGTAGTCCTTTTTTGTGTGATACAATTTAAAACACGGTGTCAGACAAAGTCCTACATCACAATCAGGACAGAAATACCGCGTTTCCTTTCGGATTCTCTTTCCACTTTCATTCCTCCTGGAACAGCATACAACGCATTGTCTGGCAGGTCTAAGTTTTTTCTCTGTTGGAGCAATAACTTCTATGAAGTGTCTCTCGGTCAGTCTCAAAGGATTAGGCTCAGAACCAGGTCGTCCATATTTGCAAGTCATCCCAGAATGGTATTTCTCGATAATTCTGTCAACAAGATCAAGTCTGAACTGTAACTGAGTTTTCTTTCCACCTTTTTTACAATATACGACATACGAGTTCCATACGGCAATATCAAAAATGTGGAAAAATTTTTTTCTATAATATTTTTTTCCTCTCTTTCTAATGACTTCAAAATTTGAAAAATTTTGGTCCATGCGGTCTACTCCTCCCATTGTGTTATTGTAATCCATAACAATTTTTGGTTTCTGTTTCGTTTCAGAGCGGACCTGTATTTCTACCTTTGCAGTATTATGAATAGTAGACAGTAATGAAACATTCTTTTTGTCCATCCACTTCATAACAGTAACTTTTCCTCTCTGAAATGCAATGATTTCTCCTTTTTTTAGTTTTTTCTTTTGCATTTCCTTTGGGACTTCTTTTCTCTTTAGATTCAGGGTGCCATATGTATCCGTTCGACACGAAATTAATTTATCAGCTAATTCTGGTGACGAATAATAGTTATCCGTCGTAAGACAATATCCTTTATGCAGTAACGGATGCATCATTGTCATAACAACTTGTGACGAAATACATAGATTTGAAAACTCTGGTTTCAGAATCGTGTTTTTGCCTGTGTATATTATTACAGAGCATACATAACCAGAAATCGATTCGCACAGCATGAAGCATTTTATTCCAAATCTTGCTCTTTTTAGGGGAATATACTGCTTCCACCCTAATCTTCCTTTGAAAAGCATAAGGCTTTCATCTATAAGCGTCTAATCTAGATCGAAGGACTCGGCATTCGGATTCTAGTCGGTTTAACCTGTAATGGCGAAATTAAAATTAAAATGTGAAACTGAATTTATGAATAAGAACAATGATCTAAAGGGATCAAATACAAAAAAGTAATATTTATTGTTCTTATTAACTTCTTTCAATGTAAGTTGTTTAAGTTGCTTCGTTTTTTATGTGATAATACACTCTCTTTAATTCTATAAACAGACATAATTTATTGTTCAGTTACATATTTACTAATATGTAAAGGATATACAAAGCGAAAGTATCTTTCGGAGTCCATTAAACAAAAAGTGGAATTTCTGCAAAAAATGGATAAAGGCATGTCCTTTGTTTATCTAAACTTTAACATTTGTTTATCTTTAACGCCGCGGCGGCGTGCAATGAATTGGAAGTTGATCTGTCAGCACTATCCTTATCTTAAGGGCAGATGTTTTTATTTTATTTGCCTTATAATTGCTTACTCAATGTAGTTCAATGAAAGTTCCGCTGTTCAAGTCCTATAATTGCTGTGTCGATAATACCGACTAATTTGTCAATTGAAATTTTTTCGTTTTCAATAACCTCTGTCACTTTCTTCGCTATCGGAAGCGAATTATAATGACGAGGCATTGATTTAAATCATATCAAAGACGGAGTACATCGAGATGAAATACTACATTGAGTAAGCAATTATAAGGCAAATAAAATAAAAACATCTGCCCTTAAGATAAGGATAGTGCTGACAGATCAACTTCCAATTCATTGCACGCCGCCGCGGCGTTAGTTAAAGATAAACAAATGTTAAAGTTTAGTAAACAAAGGACATCCTTTATCCATTTTTTCAGAAATTCCACTTTTTGTTTTAATGGACTCCGAAAGATACTTTCGCTTTGTATATCCTTTACATATTAGTATAATTTATCGAAATTCTATTTGACTAAGAAAGTTCAAGATTACTTTTATAAATTGTCTAACAGTCTGCAAAAAGAATATCCGGATCCATTCGAGATTAAGAACAACGCACTCTGCAAAATAACTGAATAGATAATTAGATAATTTGCTTAGCTTATCCCGTCCATTATACATTAAAGCGCATTGTAAAATATATTTGCGCACGCGCCACGAATTCGCAGGGTAAGGCGACGCATGCGCAAAGTTTGTAGCTTTGAGGTCCGGATTATAGATTTTCCGGATTATGGGTGTCTGATTAACACTTTGACTGTAGTTTACATCATGTTGTGGTGTCACTGCCAAACGAAACTTTCTCATTCAGATGTTTCAAAACTGGCCATAATTTCTGACTAATTTTGGACATTCGTGACTTTGTGCATCAAATGCTGAATTATCCGAAAAATGTAAGTATCGTTGCAAAAGGTGAAATCGACGATGAGTCATTATTTGGGGGGAAAAAAAGGCGTGTATGTGGAATGTCTCTTACTGCAGTACTGATCAACTGCAGGCTTCCTTTATAATTTCCTTGGCAGTATAACCAGAGCAAAAAATATATGCATCTCTTCCTGAGTTGTTTGTTCCCAAAATTTACTTCTTGAGAATTTTTTTGCAGTGCTTGACTGGATGCACTGTGTCACATATCTTGTTTGTTTCTTCCACAATTTTATTCATCAGAGAAGAATCAATAAATGCTTCATAAAATTGTAGTTTCATCAGAAGTATCATCAGTTTGTATATTTACTGCTGGAACATCAGTAAAATTGAAACCTGGGACATGGAAGAGGTGGGTTTTCCTACATCAATTTCAATAAAATTTCTAGCAGAAGTCAAGTCTTCATCGGAGTTAAGCTCACTACACATGTCATCTGAAGAATTATCCAGAACATTACATGACAGTTCTGAATTTGTACCCGAATCATCAGAAGCATCTAACAATAAGAGTAATCATCATCTATTGTATCATACATAACTAAAGAGCTTTGAATTCACAACCAAAAAACCGTGTAGCAAAACTTTCAAGAACCAAGAATGCAAAGTACTTTCGACTTCCGGTAACAAAAGAAAAACTGGTTAGAATGCTTTTAAATGGCATGGACAAGCTATGCCATCTATTGAAATCTTCTATTACTAAAGTCTCTCTTTCAATATATTAAAAATACGGGCAATCATAAAAATAAGACGGGGAAATATCGATGCACGGTACACCGTACGGCAAACCAGATGTGCCCAATGATCAGTAGCCCATACAACTGTATGGGCAAACCAGTTAAGGGGTTTTTTTAAAATGAGTTTATTGAAATTATAATATATATATATATTTGTGGCTGCTCCTTTGACTTTTCAAGTGAATATAGTTTGATGTGTACATGGGCAAAGCCAAGGAAGTGCGCAATGCCTAGTTGTACAATTCTCTGATGTTTTTTTAAGTGAAAATAGGTCAATGTATACAAGGATAAAGTTATGGGAGTGCGCAATGCCAAGTTTGAACAATTCTCCGATTTCTTTTTAAGTGAAAATAGCTCAATGTGTACGTGGATACTGAGTTTGTGCAATTCTTCGACTTGTTCTTTTGGATTTGAGTAGCAGCCAATTTTGCCCCCATCCCCAAAAAAGCAAAAAGTCAAAGAAATAAACAAACTCGATGTCCACATACCGCCAAGGTGCACCGGTAAATATATTTTTACCAAATAGGGTTACATAAGCAAGCTGTTCCAGCATTACATCTGATAAACTTTTTTCCTTTACCGAAAATCATAATTTTCTTGCAACAATAAAATGTTTTCAATTTAAAAAAAAAAAATAAAATAAAAAATACATTTCTTACCAGATACTGATTCAAATGCTTTAATGAAAACTCTGTCTTCATCATTGAAAAGGATGTCATTATCATGTTCATTAATAACTGTATTTAAAATATGTTTAAAATTAGCAATATAATATGGCATGTAAGGTTTACCATCATCTTTAAGTTCTTTATTTTCAGAATCAGATAATTCAGAAAAGACATCATAATTCAAAGAGTCTTTTACATCTTTTAAAATTTCAATAACATCAGATGCAGCATCAGGACTCAAATTCATTTCATTAGTATTCTGACTTTTGTTTACAATCGGTTCTATAAAATATTTTTCAGAAATCTCATGACAAACATTTTCATAAACAGTAACTTCCTCCCTGCCTGAAACAAAGTCATCTTCAGAGACTTCAAAGATTACTTTCCCTTCCTTTCTAATTAAATTTATTTCACTACTAACATCAGTCATTCCATCCATGGTATTCTGTTTTATAAATCTTTTTCCAGGAGTCCCTTGGCAAATACTTTTCACTGCTTGATCATTATCTATAATGATGACACCATCAGAAACTTCACAGTTTACAATCTGTTTCTTCCCACTTAAATTTATTTCCCTATTAACATCATCTCTTCTATGTACAGTATTTTCCTTTTTAAATCTTTTTAGGGAAGTTTCTCCCAAAACACTTTCACTGTCAGTTGTATGATCATTATCTAAAACAATAACTTCATCAGAGACTTCACGGTTTACAACCTGTTTCTTCCCACTTAAATTTATTTCACTATTAATATCATCCCTTTCATGGATGATATTCTGCCTTTTAAATCCTTTAAGGGAAGTTTCTTGGGAAATACTTTCACTGTCAGCTGTACAATCACTATCTAAAACAATAACTTCATCACAGACTTCAGAGTTTACAATCTGTTCCCTCCTGTTTAAACTTTTCGATTGAATTGACTCATACCTCATATCATTGATTCCCCTTTTCTGTTTTTTTAAACTAAGTCTAGAACTAGAGGATGTGGAAAAATTACTACTTTTTATTCTGAAATTTTCATGAGAAGTTTTATATGGAAGAACATTTTTAACTGTTATTGATGATGAATTAATTGTGCTACAGCATGACGTATCTAAATGCTGATTTAGTTTTGATTTCGCTAGTTTATTTCCACAAGCAGGACATAAAATACTGTCTACTTCACCTTGAACTTTGAAATAATCTAAAATATTTGTTTTCTTCATTTGCAGAGAAAAACAGTAAGAAACTCACTTTTTTAAAAGAATGCTGCGGATAAGTAATTATCGCCTTCATCCAACTACATTAAACATATTTTGGGTATTTATTTATTAATCGCAAGCATGAAACAGGCAATATCTAAAAATTTCTTCCTATATAATCGCTATCAAACACGGTTTTTTACCGCTGGCAACAACAGACGGATTGGTAAATATAAGAAAAAAATTAAACGCTGGAATTTGAACAAGCCTTAATGTTAACTCAATTCATTGAACTGCGGTGCTTTTGATTTGCACCTTCCACCACAAAATCACCTTCTTCAAATCTTCTTTGGTAGTAGATATCTTGTTTTGCAGCTGATATGTCGTTCTGCCCGCAGGATGAAAAATCAAAATGGAAAGAGAATATTTTTGTTCCAGAGAAAAATATTTCGTAGCACACACACACACACACACACGCAGATCGTATTTTATTCTCGAGTGTCAAGATGTAGACACATCTTTTTACTCGACTTC